GTGGGGAGTTTTGTCACTGTCACTTCAGGGGACACCAAGCCTATTTTGGCATGTCCTTTCAGTGAGGAGGGCAGGGAATAAAAGGTTTTCATCCTTCTGCCTTCCCTACTCTTGGCCAACACGTTGGAAAAACAAAACAGGTGCCCTCTGCCAATGCTGGCATGGTGCTGAAGAACGAAAAAAAAATGCCATGAAAGTGTGCGTGTGGTGGTGGTGGTGGTGCTGGTGGACTGTTTCAATGCCTCCTTGCACATGGGGAAATGGGAGGAGGGTGTGTGCACCTATGGGAAATACATATGTATATTTACTGTTGAATGTACAGGGCAAGTACACAGCTTGTCTTCCTGGGAACGTGTGTGCTTGAATAAATGCCAGAGAGCACAGAAACTTGTGCCAAGGGCTGAAGACAAGATGTGCAAGGCTGAGATGCGTGTGTACATGTACATGTACCTCTGTGTGCGAGAGAGAGAGATACTAGCACAGGTGCAAAGCTGGAATAGCCTAGGGTTTCCCATCCCTGCAGTTGTAGTGACAGCTTTCCTGGTGCACCTAGTATCGACAAGAGTGGGTTTTTTCTTTCAATTGTATCATTTTAGATGCAATTTAAACTAAAGGAAAGGGAGCAATGGTAGGAGTGAGAAGGTGAACTCCCCTTTCATGTGTCTTCTTTCTGCTGAGGTGGGGGTGTGGGCTGACCTCTCCCATCCTGAGAGACATGGCAAAGTCTCTCCTGTTTATCCTGGGTATGTCCCAGTGTCTCAATGGCTGTGGCTCACCAGGGGAAGGGTTGAGAAATCCCTGTGCTGAGGAGCATGGGGACACTGCTGGGGACTGACTCTGAAAGGAGATGGCAGCCGCATCTTTATGAGCCACATTTCTTGGAACTGAAAGCCACCTCTTTCACATTCTTCACCTCACCCTGGTTGATTTTATCTTATCTTTCTCTTTTTAAGCAAACAGAAGGACTTTTATTTATTTACATATTTATTTTATTTATTTTTTAAAGCTGGGGCAGGGGGAGGGTGGGATTTGCCTGTAAAGTCTAAGAGTGTGAGGAAAGGGTGTGCAGAGTTGGTGAGAGGAATATTTTCTTATATTTCACTGAGGAAATCATGGAGGGAAGAGGGGGAGAGTCTTTATAATGCCACCCCTTAGTCTTCGGGGTAAGGGAACTTCTTGTT